CCAGAGTTCTTGCAGTAAATATTTGAAGCAGGAAGGTATGTAAACAGCTTACCCCAGTGCACAGCTCCCCTTGGGGAGCTCAGCATACCCTTCTCTCTCCTTTCTGCACCTTCACCTGGCTCAGACACTGGCACAGATTTTATGGAACCGAAAAATCACTCTCCTATCCAGGCCACAGCTAAGAACCAAATGCCAAGTCACTGAGTTTGCTAGCTACATCCAGAACCCAAGAGCTTGTGTTTAGCTGCAGTGCTGCTCCCAGAAAGGCAGACACCCAGCCCAGATGGATGGAGCACCACCGGTTCCCTGCACTTTGTGTCTGGAGCTCCTCATCAGGCTGGATATTAGCAAAAATTTCTTCTTGAGAAGAGTGATGAGTGGGCTGTCCAGGGAGGTGGTGGGGTCACTGTTCCTGGAGGCATACCCAGAGAAGGGTAGATGTCACACTGAGTGGTGTGATTTAGTGGTACGGTGGTGATGGGCTGATAGCTGGACAAGATGCTGCTGTACAAACCATTGGTTGCAGGAGGATGAAAAAAATGGCTTTGCTCACAGTGTGTGACAGCAACCTGTGTCCTATACAGCCCACATCACTGCAGGCACCGACTGCCCAGCCCTTCTCTCCACCATCTCTGCCCTTCTGATGAGCAGTCAGCTTCCTGCAAAGTTGCTTTGCTGGCCCCCAAGTGGTTTCCTGTCCCTGAAAATGCAGCTGATGAGATCACTGGCTTGTAGACACCCAGCTAAAAGTGGCACAATGCCATAAGAGCTGGAAGAAACCTGGGCTCTTGTCACCACCACTGTCCTGATGCTGGGTCTGAGGGACCACAATGTTCATCAATGCAGAAAAGACCTACAAAATCACCTCAAGGAGAAAAAGCCTCAAGACAGAGAACATCCTAAGGAGACAGAAGGCATCAGCATTAGAAGGACCCTCACCAAGACAGGCTGAGGCAGAAAGGGGACTTTCCTATCCACTCATATTAACTAGCACTGTGCAGTCTGCTTGCAGGCTGCTACAAAAGCATTCTTTCTGGCAGATTTTCTTCCTCCTACAAGTCAGGGTTTTTCTGAGCAGCTCTTATCAGACCCACAATCTGCTGCAGTCATGAGCGTCAGACCCGGTGAGACGAGGTGCCATGAGTCACTGTGGCTGCGAGAACCAAATGATCCAGCTCACAATAGCAAGTCATTCATCCCAGCATCTTCCTCTTCCACCTCCTCCTTTAATTAGCAAACAGAACTCTTTATGAGTCTGGCTGCTTCTAATGAAATGCTTTGAGACTTACTGACCGAAAGTACAGCATACGTGGTTCCTAATAGTATTTAGCTGCTCCCAATGTCTCTATTGAAAACCCAATGCCTTTTCTTGCTGCCCATGGTGGATGTACCCCCTGCCCAGCATGTGGCTGCTGGCACACATGCAGCACCAGTGCGGGATAACTGCCAATGTGCAGAAATAAAGGCACAGCAACCCATACAAAGCACGTTTTGAAGGTGAGGGAAACGAGAAGTCACATTGTTCTAAGAAAGGGAATGTTTAAAAAAGAGAGAAAAAAGGAGAAAAAAAGAAAACAAACAGAAAGCAGAAAAAGAAGATAAAAGAAACAAAGCAGAAGGCTGTTGCAATGACCTTCCTTTCCACTCGTGCTCCTTGCAGCTTCTGAGATTCTACACCTCTGCCCCAACACACTTTTGTTCCAAATCCACCAGGAAAAGCCGTAACAATCCTTATGGGTCCCTTCCAACTCGGGATAGTCTGTGATTCTCTGAACACCATTTCAGAGGTGGAGAAACAGAGGCACACAGCATCCACCTCGGTGAGAAGGCTGCAGGAGGACATGGCCAGGCTGTGGTGCTGCTTGGGTGGTGGCAGTGTGATGGGACTGTGGGGATGGACAGGAAACACAGACGCCGTTCCCATCACCTCTGCCTGTGCTTTCATGGGGATGACGCGTGAACTCAGCCCTGCTGATGACGCAGGAAGTGTCATGAAAAATGCTCTTTCCCAGATTCAGACCCTTCCTGCTTCCAATGCAGTAGGAAGCAGAGTGAGGACGGCCGTATTTCAGTGCTGGTCACACATCTCTTCCTCTGTAAGGAAACCTGCTTCGTGGGAAAGGCTTAAAACCGTAGCGCAGGTTTGCTGATTTGAGGCTGCTGGACAATTGGCTGGTTTGCTGGGTGAAGGAAATGCAGCCAGACATCATCCTCTGGTGCACAAGAAGAGCTGAGAGACACTGAAGGCTGAAAAACAGGAATGGGTGAAACCTGGAAGGAGGGACTGAAGGACAGTGACTAAAGGCTTTTAACGCTATTTGCTCACGAGAGGAGCGAAGCCACAGGAAGGACATCAGTGCACTGTGGGTCCCAGCATGGCCACAAGCCACCAATGTGATGCAGTAAGAGCACTCCTGAGATGAAACAAATTAGGTACTTTCAGCAGCAAAGGGGAAATCACTAATCTCAGGTCATCCTGGGCACCCAGCCTGCAGTGGAAACGAGCAGACGGGGGGGTGGGGGGGGTTGTCAGAACATGGGGTGTCACTGCTGGAAACATCACTGGCGGATGCACCACAGGCAGAGATTGCTGTTGCCAGGGGAACAAATACACTGAATCCAAAGCCAACCCCTGGTGATGGTGTAAGCAGGTCAGTAAGAGCTGCAGGCTGGAAATGAGAAGGTATTAACAGGCAGTGATGGGAGCAATGATGGGACTTCCATGATATGAAGGGGCAAAAAGCCATGCAGGTATCAAGGTGGGGCACAGCTGCTCCTTGGAGAATGCAGTGTGATGCAGCAGGGCAGTGAGGGGCTCTGGGCTGTCCCCAATGCAGCAGACAGGGAAAGGAAGGGAAACATGGCTCATGTTGGTTAAAGGAAAGTGAATGCCTTCATGGGAATCATGTTCTGTCATTGGAGACACCCACGGTCAGTCTGGACAGAGCTCTGAGCACCTGATCAGGTGTCCCTGTTCACTGCAGGGAGTGGGATCAGATGGCCCTTAAGGCTCCCTTCCAACTCAAACCATTCTATGAATTGCATCTGATTGAACCTCAGGCAGCCACAACAGCCCCAACCCAACGCCTTTGCTCTTGTCGTTCATTTTCAAGTCAGACCATCTGAAGAAAATGGGAAGTGCAGTCGTTCAGGATCCAAGCAGGATCCTACGTAACCTATGTCATTCAGTTAAGTATGGGCTTAATTCTTGTAGCACAGCATGTTTCCAACTGCAGAGCCCTCCTGCAGGGGGCTGCAGGGGAAATCACAGTGCTCACTCCCAGGCCTGGGCAGTCCCCAGCCACTTCTACCACATGGTGGTTACATGGGATAAGGGGGAGATGAGCATCAGCTGGGACCTCAAATCCTTATGCCTGAAAATTTCCCATTAATCCCTAATTAGGAACTCAGCACCCAGGACATCAATCCTGTGCGTTGCAGCCAGGCTCTCCTGTAACCATGGCAGAGAGAGGTGTGTGAGCGCACACACCTCTGCTTCTTTCAGCTGCCTGCTCACAACCTTTTCAACCCCAAACTTCCCAGCCATAAATACACCAGCTAATGGCAGGAAACTTGCTTTTCTTAATACTTCTCCCTTGCTTCCCAGTGGGCCGTTTCCAGCAGCTCTCACTCCCTGCACCAGCCCCCGGTTACTTCTCCTGGCTCTGAGATATTTCAAGCACGCAGTGAAATCTGCAGCAGCACAAAAGCCCTAAAAACCCAAAGCAATGGTCCAGGAAGCACCACGGATTGGGCTGCAGGGTAACGGTGGCCCCTCTTCTCCCTTTTTACCATCAAAGATTTCATTATTATTATTCTTTGTGGACAGAAAACAGCTCGATAAGAACAATTCCCACAGCAGCTGCAGCCCCACACCCACTCAGCTTCCTCCGGGAGCTCCCGCACGGCACTGAGACAGGGAAGGAAACGAGGGCAGGCGGAGGGGAGCGAAGGGAAAACCAACATCACTTTCCTTTGAAAATGATGTGGAACAGCCGCTGAGCCCCCCTGGGAGCACACAGCACCAGCAGCCCCAAAGCTGTAGTGCAGATGCAGTGATCCACATCCACACCACACGGAGCACTGCCAGAGGTTCTCCTGTTCTTCCAGCCAGCAGCCATGGACGTAGGGCACAAGGACCCCTGCAAAACCACTACAAAACCTCCTCCCTCTCCACAGGGATGAGAATTATTGCTGATAATGCCTCTCCTGTGTCATCGCTGCAGCTGATGCTACTGAATGGCTGGGGGACCCGCATCTCCACACTGCAAGAATTGCTCAGCACAGACAGCTCAGCCAGGGGCACACACAAAATTAGGTAAGGTCAGCCCATAACAAGCTCCTGGGCTACGGGAGTGCAAATGGGAAAGAGAGGACTCACCTATCCCAGAGTACCCAAAGCTGCCTGCAGCGAGACCATGCATGTGGGCAGAGTCTGTCTTTGCTTTAATTCTAATTGCCCTCCCTTCTGCCTGGGGACCCAGAGATAGTCAGCGTGGAGCTGTGGCCAGGGCAGGACACCTGGTGCTTCCTCAATGGTGCCAGCCCCAGCGCTGCATCCCCAAGCCCCCTGGCAGCTAGCACACACAGGTGGGAGAAATGGGGCATTTCAGCCTCCATGAGGAAGGATTCAAAAACAGTGCAGAGATCTGCTGCAGGCAGGCCAAAAGCAGCCTTCTGTCCTCTCAGCGTTTGCCCTAGATGGAAAGGGGCCTGGGGGCTGAGCACCAGCTCAGCGAGGCGGCACGCAGCCAGCCAGGAGTGGAGAGGGGAACAGCTCTGCTTCAGAGCAAGGGAGGAGGGGGGAAGTTCCCTGCAGGGAGACCCCAGCAGAGGGATGGGGAAATTCTGGGGAGGTACTGAGCTGGGGGCCCAGGGTTGGGGCAGGCTGGAGGCTCTCCAAGCAGCACATTGCCATCCGGACATGCACCTGGGCAGGATGGGATGGCTGTGGGTGTCAGCTGCCATTTGGCTTCACGAGGTGTTGTCACAATGTGAACTCTGGACAGGAAAAGGCTCTGTTCATCCGCTGCGAGGTCCAGTCCTGCCCCGGGCTGGGCAGGCTCCCATGCAGTGACACTGCAGGGCTGTGTTATCTCTACCTGCACACTGTCCAAACTCTGCTCACACCCCTGACACCAGCAGGGAAAAGGGAGGGTCCAAATGCTGCCATCACACCCAGAAATGAATCAAAGCGAGTTCTTAGGATACTTGCACACTGCATTTGCTCTGTCTGTAAGCTGAAGGGATGCTGTTATTCCCAGACATTTAATAATGGGGCAGACCAGTCACAGAACCACAGAAACATCAAGGTTGGAAAAGACCTACAAGATCATCCAGTCCAACCATCCACCTATCACCAATAGTTCTCACTAAACCACGTCCCTCAACACAAAATCCAAACGTTCCTTGAACACCTCTAGGGTCGGTGAATCCACCTCCTCCCTGGGCAGCCCATTCCAGTACCTGACCACTCTTTCAGAGAAGCAGTATTTCCTAACGTCCAGCCTAAATCTCCCCTGGCGCAGTTTGAAGCCATAAGATGACATATATTAAAACAAGAGAATAAATGGCCAGAACTGAGCTGAGCTTCTGCATACCTTCTAAAAATGCTTCAAGGGATGGAATACCTCTGCTACAAGGGCAGGCTGAGGAAGATGGGGCTGTGCAGCCTGGAGAAGGGAGGGCTCTGGGGAGACCTGGCCTCTCACTATCTCAAAGGCAGCAATAAGAGAGAAGGGGACACACTCTTTAGCAGAGTCTGTTGTGATAGGACAAGGGGAAATGGTTTCCAACTAAAAGAGGGCAAACTCAGACAGGATGTAAGGAAGAAGCTTTTATACCACGGGCAGTGAGGCAGTGGCACAGGTTGCCCAGAGAGGAGATGGTGCCCCATCCCTGCAGACAGCCACGGTCAGGAGATGGGCTGTGAGCACTGATGGAGCTGTGGGTGTCCTTGCTCAGTGCAGGGGTGGCCTTTAGGGATTCCTTCCAACTCCAGCCATTCTGTGGTTCTATGACCATTGGGACAAAAAGGTACCCAGTTGGTCGCCATCAGTCTGCAGGCAGAGTTAAGGCACACAGGAATCAGAGCTCTGGGCCAGGGATGGCTCCGGCCACACAGGATACCTCCTTCACCACCTGAGGAGAGCTTCTGGCAGCGCAGCAAAAGAAGCATTTAGTAAAGCTACAGACTCACTTGGAAAATCTTGAGGATGATGAGCTATTTTGCAGCCAAGCTTCATATAAACACGTTGATAACGATGTCAGCATTGGGGCTGGTGATGAATATGGCTGCACGGCAACAACAGCCCTCTCTGTCTGCTCCAAGAAAGCCTCTTTCTTGCCACGCACATGTTTAATCCATGATCGGTGTCCGCTGCCAGCCACATTCACACCTCCATCTGCTCACCTCATATATCTGCTACATATCCCAAGATTTAGTTGGAGCACAGGCAGAAACGCACAGCTCGCTTGCAAATTCTACTCTGTTATGTGCTGCCTGCACTTTGCAGAAGCCCCCAACCTGACTACACCTGGACATGATGATGATGCTAACATAGCCTGAGGTCGTGACAGCATCCCAGGTCAGACATGAGCAATAGCTTTGGTATTTGCAGCTTTGGGAGCCTCATCTGACTTTAAGACCTATTTCTGCACCTGATGTGGGGGATGCAGCTGCACCCTGCAGCCAGTTTGGGCAGACAGCCCAGGGGACATCCCACCACCAAAGCCAATGTCACCTCTTGCTCGCAGAAACCCCACTGTACCCCTCTCCCTGCACCACGTCCTGACACCAACACCATTCTAGCAGAGGAGATGCCAGCAGAAAATGAACTCCTGATAAACACGCTTGGGAAGATGCTTTGCTAAGTTCAAAGAAACAGCCATTGCTGCTCAGTTGCAGCCACCACCCTCGACCCTGCAGACACGCTGGTCAGCTTCAACCTACCACGGTTCTCATGGTCATCCCTGTGTAACAATTAACTTTTTATTAAAACCACGGAGCAAGCACTCCAAAGCATAATGAGTGCTCATGCTGCTTTCCACAGCTGGGATCTGTACAAGCCCTGCAAAGCCTCCCCTACCCGCTTGCAAGGCACAAAAGCGTGGGAGTCGAACAAGGATCAGTATTATCCACTAAACCACAGGATGAGCTTGCAGGAACTGGCAGCCTGGATGGCTTCCAGCAGCTAAAGAAGGCAATAGTCCAGCCCCGTTCTCGCACGCCAGCAATGCCGAGTATCTGTGTTCTTAAGAATGTGAAGACAAGCCGTCCCCATCCCCATCCCATCCCCATCCCATCCCCAGCCATCTCCCCCAGCACGCCCCTCACAGCGCTAGCAAACAATTCTCTCAATTTTCCTGAATTAGGCATTTAAAAGGGACGTTACATGCAGTGCTTTCCTTCTATGTCTAGCAGCCTTTAGCTAATAAGGAGAAGAGCTGGCAAAACTCAAGGAAGGCTGGCAAGGAATAAAGCAAAATAAAAATCTCATCTTGTAAGGAGACAGCAAGTGGAACTGGGCACAAGCACTAAGGAGAGGCACAGACAGGGTCTGTTGGGAAGGTCTCAGTGCTCTGTGTGTAAGAAGGATGAGTAACGGGGTGAATAGGGCTTCTTGCAGCCAGAATCGTTCCAGACCAGACACAGTGAAGGTGTCCATGCTGGCTGGGGCTTCCTGCTCAGCTCCCAGAGCTGGGGACCTTTTTGTATGTCTCATACTTTACAAGACTGTAACTGTCTTTCAGCCACGTTGAAAGCCAGACAGGATTGCCTATCTTCTTCCCATCACCAGGGCTCCCCCAGCCCACACCAGCACCGGAGGATGAATTTCCTGCCCCAGCAGTCAGACCTGTTAGGCACTGAAGGCGTGCTTGGACTGCATTCCCCTTGGGTGCCTCTCACTGCCAGGTCACTGGGACAGCCAGGCATCGCCCAGCAGCTTCACAGAGCCAAGGGTCACATAGTGGACAACAAAATCTCCAAGCCTGGCAATAAAAACACCCCTCGATGCATTATCTGTGCCGTGCTGCCTTTCCCTTCCGATCTTCACACCCAGATCTGGGAGTTCCTCACAGCCAAGCCTGCTCAGAGCCAGAGCTTTCTCAACTTGAGAGCCAAGAAGAGCCCCCTAGGATTACAGCTTGTTGCTCTATTCGTTGTCAGAAAAGCACAGTGTGTCAAAAATCCCTAGAAGGGCAAGGGGCCATTATTTATGAACCAGATTTATTGTCACCCTCCTTCCCCAGGGCCCCTGGAAACACATTCCATGTCTCAGAGTGCCCTGGCTTTGAGGCAAGCCCACGGAACGCAGCTCCTCAAAGCCCATGTCCTGCTTCCCTGCTCCACCCAGCCCTGGGAGCTCCCAGAGGTGGGGCATCCTTCTCTGCCTGCCAGCATGGAGATAAACACCACTCCTACGCTTCCATGGAGAGGAAAAACCTGAGCATGGTGCCTTTGGTCCATGCAAAATGAATGGAGAGGGCCGTGATGGGGGTATTTTTGGTGGCTGAAGTGATGGACAGGCTTGCTTGAAAACACTCCTACCCACATATCAGCCACAGCCTCAGCCACCAGTGGATTTATTTCTATTTCTTTGCGTCTAGGCAGAGAGATGCTAAACTGGTAGTTGTTTAAAATACACTAGTTTGGAGGAGCAGTGCTCTGAAGTTCAACTCAGCACACAATGTGAACTCCTCCTTGAGTTCAGACAGCTTCTGCCCCCTGAAGCTATCCCTAGTTTTACACCACTGTGCCCCAAGGGTTTTAAGCCAGAAACTGTAAGATGTGATGGTAAAAAGCTTTCACTTCAGATACACTTGTGCATCAGCAGGCAGCACTTTTTATTTCATGGGAAATTCTATCAGCCAGGGACTTCTGACACAGAACCGGATTTCCCATTACTGGCACTACCCAATGCTTGCTGCTGTCAGGGCACAGAGGGTCTCCAACCAGAACCAGAGCACCAGAGGCTGTCCAGAGAGCTGCAGCCTTGCATGAAGGAATCCCTGGAGGAAAAGGGGTGAGTTGCTGGGTTTGGGTGGTTACTTAGTGCTGCTGAGGGCTGTGCTGTCTGCACATTGCTCATGCTCCCCGAGTATCTGCATCACCCTAAAAGCAGAGCAAACCTCCCCCCTGCAGGGGCACCTTGTAGAGCTGGGGAGCAGAGCTCTGCCAGCAATAGATCGGGGTCTGAGCTCTGCTGGGAGGAAACGAGAGGAGTGGGAGGAAGGCAACAAGCCAAAAAAGGGAGAGTTCAGCGTGAGCCCCACTCCTACTGCTGCAAAGCACTCTGATGTTCCTCCTGCCTCTCACATCTGGTTTTCCCAATAAACGTGCTTCATCTTTCCATCCCCCAGCTCAGAGCAGCCCACAGCTCTCCAGCCATGCAGCTCCTCGCTCCACTTCAGCCATTATGACCCACATTGCCCACTCTCAGTTGTCCCCTTCCCCCGCACCCGTGCCTGCTCAGCTCCTCATTAGTGCAGGCAAGATTAGGTTTCTTCTCCAGCTGCAGGCAAACGGCCCCATTTCTGAGCTGTCTCCAGACCCTGCAAGCAGGGAAGTTTCCCTTCTTCCAAAATACAGCCATTGTCTCAATGGCAGGGACACAGCCCTGTGTTGGTGTGGCTGGCAATGGCACAGCCACAGCAGCTGCCATGGATCTACACATAGCTCCTAGGCAAGAAAGCAGCAACAGAAGCAAGCACAGAACACCAGAAGTGGATCTTACCCAGTTTGGGGACTGACTATGGGATAAAAGGCCATGGGTGTCCCCAGGGGCAAAGGGACACAAGCTGGGCTCCAGCACAGCCCTTCTGCAGAAATCCAGGCACTGCTGCAGTGCTCAGCCCCTGTGTGTGGGGCAGTGTGGAGGGAAGGGTTTCCTGGTCTGTGGCCAACACTGCTGTTCCTCCTGTGAAGGATATTGCCCTCCCCAGGGTGCGTTTCATTTCAGAGCACGAGACACACAATTAATTTCCATAGTTCACTTTCCCTCTCCACCCACTGGGGATTTTTAAAGTTTTCTGGAAAACAAAATATCCCAAACACAACCAACTATCTGCTCCCCAACCTGACAGTTTCCAGGAGGGCCCTTCCCTGGAAAGCAGATGCCAACATGGATGGCAACAAATCCCTTTTAGGCAGCCAAATTTGAGTCTAAGCAGTTCTCTTCTTGAATTGTGCAAAATAGTAAAAAAAAAACCTTAAATATTTTATATACTGAATACTTCCTGCCTCAGTGCCCAGCAGTTCATCTGCTCTAAGGATCTCTGCTTTGCCCCTACTCCCATACACCACTAAACACAAGCCCTCCTGATGAGTATTCCTACAAGCTTTGCTCGCTCCAGTTCCCTTTGACCTCATGGAAGCAAGAGAAGGCACAGGGAAAAGGACAGCAAGAAAGCAAAGCTGTGATGCTGTAGGGTCAGGGGAAGGAGACTCAGGGTAAGAAATTCAATGGGCGCTCTGCCTGCTTCTCCTTTGTCCATTAGATGGATTTCAAGTTCAACAGGAATAAATCCCACATCCTTGCTCCTCCTCAGCATGGATGAAAAGATGGGCCCACAGGGAAGGATTCAGGTCTCCAGCCCAATGCACAGCTACTGCCGAGCCCCACAGCTCAGATCAGCCCCAGCCACTGCCCCCACACCACGGGGAGTTCCATCCTTGCCCCAGATAGGTGTGCCAGCTCCTCAAATCCCCAGCTCCACAGGGACAAACCCCTCAGAGCTGTTTAGCAGAGGATCACAAAGTGCTGGTCTGCCTCACGTTCCACACGGGAAGCTGGAGCCCACGTGTTAAAGGATTTACACGAAGACACAAAACCATCTAGCAGACGAGAAGGACCCCAAACCCAGCTCCGAGCTGCAGCACCATCACTGCCTCCTGCTTCAGCTTTCATCCTGACCCATTCCGGGCTCTGCCGGTCCCCGGTCACCGCC